TCACACCTGTCATTAGTGGTACCTGTCACACCTGTGTCATTAATGATACCTGTCACACCTGTCATTTGTGGTACCTGTCACACCTGTCATTAGTGGTACCTGTCACACCTGTGGTACCTGTCATACCTGTCACACCTGTCATTTGTGGTACCTGTCACACCTGTCATTAGTGGTACCTGTCACACCTGTGGTACCTGTCATACCTGTCACACCTGTCATTTGTGGTACCTGTCACACCTGTCATTAGTGGTACCTGTCACACCTGTCACTAGTGATACCTGTCACACCTGTCATTAATGATACCTGTCACACCTGTCATTTGTGGTACCTGTCACACCTGTCATTAGTGGTACCTGTCACACCTGTCATTAGTGGTACCTGTCACACCTGTGGCACCTGTCATACCTGTCACACCTGTCATTAATGCCGCCTGTCACACCTGTCATTGGTGCCACCTGTCTCACCTGTGGCACCTTTGGCACCTGTCACTGATGTCCCTGGGGACACAGAGCCATTCCAGGGCTGGGCAAGGCCGGGGTTCCCTGGCCCAGGTGAGGCTGTACCTGGCCCAGCTGAGTTCCCTGGCCCAGGTGAGCCCAGGTGAGTTCCCTGGCCCAGGTGAGCCCAGGTGAGTTTACCTGGCCCAGGTGAGTTTACCTGGCCCAGGTGAGTTACCTGAGCCCAGGTGAGTTTACCTGGCCCAGGTGAGTTTCCTGGCCCTGGTGAGCCCAGTGAGTTCCCTGGCCCTGTTGAGTTTTCCTGGCACAGGTGAGTTTACCTGGCCCAGGTGAGGCTGTACCTGGCCCAGGTGAGGCTGTACCTGGCCCAGGTGAGTTCCCTGGCCCAGGTGAGGCTGTACCTGTGCCCAGGTGAGTTCCCTGGCCCAGGTGAGCCCAGGTGAGTTACCTGGCCCAGGTGAGGCTGTACCTGTGCCCAGGTGAGTTCCCTGGCCCAGGTGAGCCCAGGTGAGTTACCTGGCCCAGGTGAGGCTGTACCTGTGCCCAGGTGAGTTCCCTGGCCCAGGTGAGCCCAGGTGAGTTTGGGGACACACCTGGGACACACCTGGGGACAGCTGGGGACACACCTGGGACACACCTGGGCACACACCTGGGGACACCTGGGACACCCCTGGGGACACCTGGGGGGACCCGTGGGGACACACCTGGGGACACACCTGGGGACAGTGGGGACACACCTGGGACACACCTGGGGACAGTGGGGACACACCTGGGACACACCTGGGGACAGTGGGGACACACCTGGCACATTGGGGGGACAGTGGGGACACACCTAGGGGACATCTGGGTGTACCTGGGACGTACCTGGCGGCATTGGGGACACACCTGTGTCGAGCTGTGTGTCACTGTCCGTGCCCCCAGGGCCCCTCCCATCCCCCAAGGAGGTCGTCAATGGCAACATCAAAACCATCACCGAGTACCGCGAGGAGGAGGACGGGCGCAAGGTCAAGGTGGGCACGGGGGCACAGAGGGGCACGGGGGGCACCTCGGAGCCCCAAAACTGGCACCTGAGTGTCAATATTGGCACCTTTGGGCCTCAAAATTGGCACCTCAGCCCCAAAATTGGCACTTCTGAACCTCGAAATTGGCACCTTTGGGCCCCAAAATTGGCACTTCTGAACATCAAAATTGGCACCTCTGGACCCCAACGTTGGCACCTGAGTCACAAATTTGGCACCTGAGTCCCAAAATTGGCACCTCCGGACCCCAAATTTGGCACCTCTGAGACCCAAAACTGGCACCTGAGTCTCAAAATTGGCACCTCTGGGCCTTAAATCTGGCACCTCTGAACCCCAAATTTGGCTTTTTAGGGGTTCAGGTGCTGCAGGCAACTCAAATTTGGCACCTGAGCCCCAAAATTGGCACCTCTGGACCCCAAATTTGGCTTTTTAGGGGTTCAGGTGCTGCAGGCAACTCAAATTTGGCACCTGAGCCCCAAAATTGGCACCTCTGGACCCCAAATTTGGCTTTTTAGGGGTTCAGGTGCTGCAGGCAACTCAAATTTGGCACCTGAGCCCCAAAATTGGCACCTCTGGACCCCAAATTTGGCTTTTTAGGGGTTCAGGTGCTGCAGGCAACTCAAATTTGGCACCTGAGCCCCAAAATTGGCACCTCTGGACCCCAAATTTGGCTTTTTAGGGGTTCAGGTGCTGCAGGCAACTCAAATTTGGCACCTGAGCCCCAAAATTGGCACCTCTGGGCCCCAAAATTGGCACCTGAGCCCCAAAATTGGCACCTCTGGACCCCAAATTTGGCTTTTTAGGGGTTCAGGTGCTCCAAAAATTCCCACATTTGGGGTTTTTTGGGATCAAGTGCACCAGGAATTCCCAAATCTGTCACCTCTGGACCTCAAATTTGGGGTTTTTGGGATTCAGGTGCTCCAGGAATTCCCGAATTTGGGGTTTTTGGGATTCAGGTGTTCCAGGAATTCCCAAATTTGGGATTTTTGGGATTCAGGTGCTCCAAAAATTCACAAATTTGGGGTTTTAGGACCCCAAATTTGTGGGTTTTGGGATTCAGTTGTCCCAGAAATTCCCAAATTTTGGGTTTTTGGGATTCAGGTGTTCCAGAAATTCCCAAATTTTGGGTTTTTGGGATCAAGTGTTCCAGGAATTCCCGAATTTGGGGTTTTTGGACCCCAAATTTGGGTTTTTTTGGGGTTTCCCAGCCCCATTCCCAGTTTTTCCCCTCCCAGATCATCCGGACGTTCCGGATTGAGACCCGCAAAGCCTCCAAGGCCGTGGCACGGCGCAAGGTGAGGGAGAATGGGGATTATGGGGGAAAAAGGGAATTCTTTGGGGAAAAATGGGAATTACTGGGGAAAACTGGGAAATGTTTGGGGAAAATGGGATTGGGATTGGGGAAAATGGGATTGGGAATGAGAAAAAAGGGAATTATTTAGGAAAATTAGGATTGGGAGTGGGAAAAATGGGAATTGTTTGGGAAAAATGGGAATTCTTGGGGAAAAATGGGAATTATTTGGGGAAAATGGGGTTGGGAGTGGGAAAAATGGGATTGGGATTTATTTGGGAAAAACGGGATTGGCATTGGGAAAAATGGCTTGGGAATGGGAAAAATGGGATTGGGAATGGGCAAAATGGGAATTATTTGGGGAAAACAGGATTGGGATTGGGATTTATTTGGGAAAAACGGGATTGACCCGGGCCTGGGTTGGGATTGGGGCGTTGCCATGGCAACGGGGCAGGATCCCGAATTTCCCGGGATTTTCAGGCTCCTTTTCCAGCTCAAGGGCCAGAAGATCGTCTCGTGCCGCATCTGCAAGGGCGACCACTGGACCACGCGCTGCCCCTACAAGGACACGCTGGGGCCCATGCAGAAGGAGCTGGCCGAGCAGCTGGGGCTGTCCACGGGCGAGAAGGAGAAGCTGCCCGGAGGTGGGACCCCAAATCCAGACCCCAAACCCCAGATCCCAAATCCCACTTTTTTGGGGAATTTTTCCCATTTTTGTACGATTACGTGGCCCCAAGGTCTCCATGGTGGCCCCATTGTGGTGGCCCCATCATTGTTGTGGTGGCCCCGTGCAGAAGGAGCTGGCCGAGCAGCTGGGGCTGTCCACGGGCGAGAAGGAGAAGCTGCCAGGAGGTGGGACCCCAAATCCAGACCCCAAATCCCAGATCCCAAATCCCAAATCCTGCTTTTTTGGGAATTTTGGGGATTTTTTCTCGTTTGACCCTGGTTTTTTGAGGTGGTGGCCCCATTGTGGTGGCCCCGTTGTTGTTGTTGTGGCCCCATGGAGAAGGAGCAGCTGGGGCTGTCCACGGGCGAGAAGGAGAAGCTGCCCGGAGGTGGGACCCCAAACCCCAAATCCCACATTTTTTGGGAGTTTTTCCCATTTTTGTACGGTTTTGTGGCCCCAAGGTCACCATGGTGGCCCCGTTGTGGTGGTCCCATCATTGTTGTGGTGGCCCCATGCAGGAGGATCTGCTGGGGCTGTCCCTCACCTGTCCCTCACCTGTCCCCACCTCGCTCACCTGTCTCTCACATGTCCCTCACCTGTTCACCCCTGTCCCACCTGTCCTTCCTGCCTGTGTCTCACCTGTCTCACCTGTCCCTCCTTGTCCTCACCTGTCCCTCACCTGTCCTCCTGTCTACCTGTTCTTTTTGCCTTTACCTGTCCTCACCTGTCCCACCTGTCTCACTTGTCCACACCTGTCCTTCCTGCCTTTACCTGTCTCACTTGTCCCCACCTATCTCACCTGTCCCACCCATCTCACCTGTCCCACCCATCTCACCTGTCCCCACCTGTCCCCATGTGTCCCTCTTGCCTTTACCTTTCCCCTCCTGCTTCTCACCTGTTTAATCTGTCTCACCTGTCCCTCATCCTCACCTGTCTCACCTGTGTCTCACCTGTCCCGCTCTGGGGATACCAGGGCCACACCTGGCCACACCTGGGCGGGCTCTGGGCACACCTGGGTGGCTCTGGGGATACCAGGGCCACACCTGGGCACACCTGGGCGGGTCCTGGGCACACCCGGGCGGGCCCTGGGCACACCTGCGCCCCGGCCCCACCCTCACCTGCCCGCGCAGCCGATGACAACGCCACGATCCGCGTCACCAACCTGTCGGAGGACACGCGCGAGACCGACCTGCAGGAGCTGTTCCGCCCCTTCGGCTCCATCTCGCGCATCTACCTGGCCAAGGACAAGACCACGGGCCAGTCCAAGGTGCCCTGGGGCGGGCGGGGCCCGCCTGGCGCCGCCAGGTGTGCCAGGTGTGCCGGGCGGGTGCTGAGGCAGGTGTCCCGCAGGGCTTCGCCTTCATCAGCTTCCACCGGCGCGAGGACGCGGCGCGCGCCATCGCCGGCGTCTCCGGCTTCGGCTACGACCACCTCATCCTCAACGTGGAGTGGGCCAAGTGCGTACCTGGGCACACCTGGGAACTCACCTGGGGCACACCTGGGCACACCTGGGGGGGTTACAGACACCTGGGGGGGTCACACCCACCTCATCCTCAACGTGGAGTGGGCCAAGTGCGTACCTGGGCACACCTGGGGGGTTTACAGACACCTGGGAACTCACTTGGGGGGGTTACACACCTGGGCACACCTGGATTACACCAGGGCGCACACCTGGGGCACACCTGGGCACACCTGGGGGTCCCTCCCACCTGTCCTGACTCCTTTTCTCCTCCCCAGGCCCTCCACCAACTGAGCCGCTCCCAGTTCGGTGCCAGGGGATCCCAGTCTGGTCCCAGTTTGGTGCCAGGGGATCCCAGTCTGGTCCCAGTTTGGTCCCAGTTGGTCCCAGTCTGGTCCCAGTCTGGCCCCAGTGGATCCCAGTTTGGTCCCAGTTCATCCCAGTTCAATAAAGCTCTGGGTTCTGGCACCGCCCCCATCCCGGGATTTGGGCTCACAGCTGGGAAAAAATGGGGATTTTGGGGGGAAAAATGGGAATTTTGGGGAGGAATTGGGAATTTTGGGTGATAAATGGGAATTTTTGGGTGGGAAAATGGGAATTTTGGGGGAAAAATGGGAATTTTGGGGGTCAAATGGGAATTTTGGGGGGAAAAAATGGGGATTTTTTGGGGGAAATTGGGATTTTGGAGGAGGAAATTGGGCATTTGGGATGAGAAATGGGAATTTTGGGGGGGGAAATGGGAATTTTGGGTGGAAAGATTGAAAATTTGTGGGGGGAAATTGGGATTTTGGATGAGGAAATTGGGAATTCGGGGCAAAATTGGGATTTTGTGGGGGGAAGTTGGGATTTTTGGCGAAACAAATGGGAATTTTGGTTGAAAAATGGGAATTTTGGGCTGGGAAATGGGAAGTTTGGGTGGGAAAATGGGGATTTTGGGATGGGAAATTGGGAATTTTGGGTAGGAAATGAGGGATTTTGCTGGAAAAACACAAATTTTGGGTGGGAAAATGGAATTTTTGCAATGAAAAAGGGGTTGTGGTGGAAAATTAAAGGATTTTGGCTGCAAAAATGGGAATTTGGGGTAGAAAAATGGGATTTTCCCTGGCAAAATGAGATTTTGGGTAAGAAAAATAAAATTATTTGGGGTGAAAAAGGAGATTTTGGGTGGGAAAAGGAGGATTTTGGGTGGAAAATTTGGATTTCTGCTGGAAAAGGGAAACTTGGGGTGGGAAAAGTGAGATTTGGGACAGAAAAAAGGAGATTTTGGGTGGGAAAATCAGGATTTGGGGTAGAAAAATGGGATTTTTCCTGGAAAAAAAAAAGCCACACGAGTTCCTGGGGTGGATCCAACTTTATTGCAGCTCCCCGGGGGGAGGGGCCACAATTCCCAAATTTCCAACCCGGAATTCCGGCCACGAGGAGTCCTGGAAGTTCCTGAAATTCCCACTGGGTTTTCCCCCATTTTGGGGGATTTTTCCCCCATTTTTGGGGGATTTTTTTCCCCATTTTTGGGGTTTTTTTCCCCAATTTATCTGTGATTTTTTCCCCCATTTTTGGGATTTTTTTCCCAATTTTCTGGGATTTTTCCCCCCATTTTTGAGGGTTTTTTCCCATTTTTGGGGTTTTTTCCCCTTTTTTGGGGTGATCTCTCCTGGATTCGGGGACCCCAGCACAGAAAAGTTGGAAAGGGAACCGGGGGGGGCTTTGGGGGACCCCAAAACTCTCCTGGAAATCCCAAAATTCCCCTTGAGGATCCCACATTTGTTCTGGAGGATCCCAAAATTCTCCTGGGGACCCCAAAATCCGTCCCAGCGACCCCAAATTCGGGTCCCAAATTCCCAATTTTTCCCCTCTCAATTTTTCCTTTTCTGGGCCCGTCCTGGCTGAGGAAAATTTGGGATTTTTGGGGGGTTCTGGAGCTTCCCACGGGGGGATTTGGGGTTTTTGGGGGGTCCTGGGTGGGATTTGGGGTTTTTGGGGGGTCCTGGGTGGGATTTGGGGTTTTTGGGGGGTCCTGGGTGGGATTTGGGGTTTTTGGGGGGTCCTGGGTGGGATTTGGGGTTTTTGGGGGGTCCTGGGTGGGATTTGGGGTTTTTGGGGGGTCCTGGGTGGGATTTTGGGGTTCCTGGGCGGGATTCTGGGTTTCCTGTGTGGGATTTTTGGGTTTTTGGGTGGAATTTTTGGGATGCAGGGGTGGATTTTGGGGTCCCAGGGGTGGATTTGGGGTTTTTTCTGTGGGATTTTGGAGGTTTTGGGTGGAATTTTTGGGATCAAGGGGTGGATTTGGATTTTGGGGTCCCTGGGGTGGATTTTGGGGTTCCTGGGGTGGATTTTGGGGTGCCAGGGGTGGATTTGGGGTTTTTTCTGTGGGATTTTGGGGTCCCTGGGGTGGATTTTGGGGTCCCCTTCCGTCGTTTCCGGGCCCGGGGCGCGGCCGAGGGGCTTCGCTTCCTCTTGGAGCTGCCAGGGAACAAATCTGGGGAAAAAAGGGAAAAATGGGAATTTAGAGGGGAAAAATGGGAATTTAGGGTGGGGAAATTGGGGTTTAGGGGGAAAATTGGGGTTTAGGGGAATAAAAATGGGATTTCTGGGGAAAAAATTGGGATTTGGAGAAAAAAAATTGGGATTTGAGGGGAAAAAATTGGGATTTTGGGGGAAAAAATTGGGATTTCAGGACAAAAATTGGGATTTTGGGGGAAAAAAGGGGATTGGGGAGGGAAAAAAAGGAGTTTAGGGATAAAATTTTGGGATTTGAAGAAAATTGGGATTTAGGAGAATAAAAATGGGATTTGAGGGGAAAAAAAATTGGGATTTGGGAGGAAAAAAGGGGTTTGGGGAGGGAAAAAAAGGAATTTAGGGATAAAATGTTGGGATTTGGGAGGAAAAAAAGGAATTTAGGGATAAAATTTTGGGATTTTGGGGGAAAAAAATTGGGATTTGGGGGAATAAAAATGGGATTTGAGGGGGAAAAATTGTGATTTGGGGGGAAAAAAGGGGATTGGGGAGGGAAAAAAAGGAGTTTAGGGATAAAATTTTGGGCTTTGGGGCGGCAGGAGGCCCCGGAAGTGTCAGAGCGTTTACTTTGATCCCAAATCACGGAAATTCAGGAATTTTGGCTTCATCAGCCACTTCCGGGGAGGAAAGCTCACCTGGAAAGCCCAAAATTTTCCTTTATCTGCCCCAAACTCACCTGGAAACCCCTAAAACTCACCCGAATCCTCCCCAAAGTCACCTGGCTCCTTCCCCAATCCCCTTTTACACCCCAAAACTCACCTGGAACACCCCAAAATTTCCTTTTCTTGCCCCCAAAACTCACCTGAACCCACCTAAAACTCACCTGGAAACCCCAAAACTCACCTGGAGCACCCAAAAACTCACCTGAGGCTCCGCCCCCGCTCACCTGGGTCAGGCTCCGCCCCCGCTCACCTGAGGCTCTGCCCCCAGCTCACCTGGGTCAGGCTCCGCCCCCAGCTCACCTGTGCCAGGCTCCGCCCCCAATCTCACCTGTGCCAGGCTCCGCCCCCACTCACCTGGGTCAGGCTCCGCCCCCAGCT